TAATTTGCTTGAACTTGAAGTGATGCATAACCAAGTTTCTAATTTAAGAAGATAACCTAAGATTGGATTTCAGTAAGCCACCAAAAAAGAACAAAAAGGGCGCAGTAACAATTCATAGGAACATGACGCTGATGTAAGGGGAATAGACTTTCCCCGGACCTGACTGTATCTGTGTTTTGTTATATATATTTCCATATTTCCACCAAAAAAAAAAAAAAAAACAATTCATAGGAACATGACCGTATGCATCTCCAACAATCAGCCTATTGTGTTATACTTCTTCATGAAAACAAGAGGCAGATTGAAAATCTGCTTTATTAACGTTATCTACCTTCCTTTGTAAAGATCAGTCTATGTCTGATGTAGCCCTCTGAGGCAACTGCATGCTCACTATGTCCTCCCTAGGAAGATTATTAACAGTGTCATCAGCCATCTGCTGATGGTCAGGGATTGTTAATGCCAAAAGAGGTGTAACCTCCTTAGGTTTCCGGAAGACCAGGTAGATAATAGCAGCCAAATATACAGCAATACCAGAAAATCCAAATATTCCCAAAAACACTACAACTACAAGTTTCCAGTGGCTATGGAGAAGCAAGTTGATGAAGCCAGACACAAGATAGTATATGTTTATACCCATGATAAGAGAACCAATTATCCAAGTGATAGCTGAAATCTGTAAAGAAATATATAAAATCCTTTAGTTAATGAACCAGTATCATACTTGGTATAATCCATCACATGTTAACTAACATCTAAGTTTAGACACCATGCTAATTAATTAAGCAAATGTAAGGAGATCTATTTACATGTTATCCCTATCATTCATGCTTTGGTGGGAAATAAACCAGTAAAGGCATCACTCTAATATGACAGTGAGCGAAGTGTCCTAGTAGATCAGGATTATTTATTTACCCAGAAAACATATTACAATTACTTTAAATCATTTGAAATGAAAATGATTAGTTTCCATGAAAACGATGGGTCCACCAAATCATTTTCAACTGGTAGACATAAATCTGAAAAGTACTTATGCTAAAGTTGACCAGATGAGATTACAATGCTACAGTAGTTATTCATCAAACATGTGCCTAAATATTTTACCAAAGGAAAACTAACTAAAGAGCAGCAACTTAAGCCATAAACTGTGGAGGATAGGAATTAGTTTTACCATTCGTGAATTGGCATGTGCTCCCATCTTGGTCCCACTGCTGGTGAACTTAAGAAGTGGAATGAGTGCGAAAGGAAGCTCAAATGACAAAATCATCTGTGAGAAATGAAATGAAGATAATACTACAACTTTAGGATAGTGAAAGCCAAACATGAACCAATTAGGCTGAAATTTGACATTTCTAAAACAATGCAACTTCTGATAGGATAAAGCCTTATGACACATCAGAGAGACAATTAAGAGTTCCAATTTCTGAAATTATCTTCAAAGGTTAATGGTGCTAATAGATAGAACCAATCATCCAACTTTTGCTGAAATTATCTTCAAATGAATAGTCATTAGTCAGTTAGATCTCAAGGTTTGGAATGTTCAAATTGGATCTGATCCTACCCTTAACATTTGCATCAATTAAAGTAAACCACATTTAAGATTGGAACCTATGTTTACAGAAACCATAAGTGACATCTGACATGTTTGTGACAGAATCAAGAATAAAGTTTACAGCATCTTAAGTGTGGTAATAGATAACTAGCTAGCTGCAAGCATGCCACAACAGATTCCTAGTGGGATGCAGTATAATCATTAATCAAAATCCAACATTGTAAATGTCATTATATTTTGAAGTGCCAAATGGTTAATGTCATTTAGAAAACAGAAAACAACATTATTGAAACTGGAAATGGTTAAAAAAGACAATATCATACCGATGCAATAATAATCAACTTTCCAGCCCCAGCAGGACCACCAATGATTGCAACAATTAAACTTGGGACAATTGCCAAACACCGAGTAAGAAAATTTCGAATCCAAGGTGTCAGTCGTAAATCAAGAAAGCCCTACAATGGGAAAATTTTGAATCCAAGGTGTCAGTTGTAAATCAAGAAAGCCCTACAATGGGAACAATACGGTCCATCGAAATTAATTTAGTATGCAGAACATGGATATATCAAAGGAACAAAAGGCATGAGCAAGTTATGAGACAAATATAGCTTATCAAACTTTTAGAAGCATAACAATATTGACAATTGGTTCCTCTATCCCTTTTTTTTTTTTACATTTTCTAATTAAATAAAAGATCAGTACCCATAAAAATGCGGTCTGGGTCAGTAGTTTACACTTTTAAGCAGTTTATGCATGAAAAAGTTAATGGCCTTAAATCTGGTGGTAAAGGATACATGTAATGGTCTAACTAGTCCTAAATCATATTTAGTTTATGGCAAAGCTTGGCTCGCTTAAGTTCTATGATATTTAAAAATATAAACTATGTTGGTGCCCACCACATCTTTAAGTTTCAAGAATTAATTCTTACAAGCGTGGTAAAGTATAGAGTTTACAGAAATAAACAATTAATAAGTAGTAACTTCAAATTTTCAGAAAGGAATTACTACAATAATATTTCTCTTCTCTTAATAGGTTCAATAGTAATATTCTGTTTAAAATTACTGATAGAAACTGGGATATGGTACCTGCATTACATATTGTCCAGCATATGTTCCCGTTATTGTAGAACTCTGACCTGATGCAAGCAAAGCAATTGCAAAAAGTTTTGAACTCCAACTACCTAAGACATTCTGTAAACAGACAAAGAAAAAAAGGAAGAAAAAATAAAAAAACTATATAACAATCATCTAGAAGATTCAGAAGAACCTGAAACTTTACCCTTATATAAAATTTTAAGATAAAACAAATTTAAGCAGAATAATCTAGTCTAGTAATAAACAAATATCAAGAGAAAAGAATAACTAATATGTTACAAATGGTCACTGGGCCACATACCCTTAGTAAGAAAGATGCCTTATTCAAGTCCAAGTCCTTGCAGCTTTGCTGATCATCTGGATTTAAATTTGTAGAATTGCAAACTGCACCACTTACAGAGATAACAGAGATGTTAATGAGAAACGCCACTGTCAGAGCAAAGGCACTCTCTATCATGTAAAATCTGCAGGCTTCCTGACAAAATATTGCACCAGATGAGGCTCGTTAGTATGCTAAACAAAATCACTACCATGCTTGTTAGTATGCTAAACAACATCAGTTACATGTATATTTACTTTTACGGTAATGTTATATTTAGGAGTTGAAATTAATGACATGTTGGCTTTGTATTTTCTTCCTTTTTTTTTTTTTAAATGACT